GTTGGGGGGTTGGGGGGAGATGAAAGATAGAAACTATGGGGGTTCACTCTGTTGGGTAACAAGACAGAACATTATTTTAATGTTAATTTTAACCGTGTTTCATTTTTAATGCTCTATTGAAATCCAAAACAGTAGCTGAGAGCGAATAGGAACCTTAATCAAGTTCAACCCTCTAAAAAAGGAAATCATATAGTTTTGTGTGAATGCTCACAGATTATGATGATGCTATTTTAAGCTATAGTTGATAACTGTTGTCATTATTTTAAATGGTTCAATGAAAACGTGAAACACAGCAACTCACTAATAAAGGGGATTTTCGAGCTAAATATATCGGAAAAGTTATTGGAAAAAAGTCCAAGATTTTTGGACTAAAAAATCTGGTTGAAAAAAGTCCTTTAAATAAAGGAAATAAAGTCCTTCAATGTTGAGTCTTTTGTTCTATGACTTTTTCTGGTTACAGTATGATTTTATTCAAAAACATCTCTTGGAGTGGTAAATGTTCACAACCATGTAAAAAAACGGGGCTTGATTTTAAAAACCTTCCTGTCTATATTTAATTTGCAGATGCGTAAAAGAAAAATACTTTTTCATGAAAACGTCTGAGACTTGACCTCATTTTTCAAAATCTTTTTCTTTACTTTCTTCGGATTTTAATTCCCGTGATCTTATTATCTTATTATTTTAGGGAAAAAACCTAGGAATATAAAACTAAGGACCTTATTTTTGGTGAAAATTTGTCCTCGGACTTCAGAAAATTGGGCCTTTTTAACAAAAGTTTTTATTTCCAGGTTTTTTTAAAAACTTTTTTTCCTATGACTAATTCTTACATTGATTCAATAAATTTGCTTAATAACAACTTCAAATACACATATTACAGGGATAGCCGCACATGATGAGACCGTAAATAGACCTTAAATAAATCTAATATGACGATCTCTTGGTTAAACAAAGTTACAAATAATCTTGCAATGTCTTATTTAATAATTTGACAAAGAAAGAAACGATTTTACAGTTGCAATCGTGAAAATAAGGAAGCAGACCGAATAAATTGCGTACAGTCGTCTCTGAAGTCTCATCCTTTTTGAGTAACCCTGTAGATATAGATAAAATGTCGTCTTCCACAGCTTTATCTAAGTAAATTCTCAATATTTACAGAATGAAAATGAACCTGCTGCAAGGGTTAAAGGTTAGAAAAGTCTGATTTGTTTAAGAATTTCTACGACATCACTGTGAATACAACCGAAACGATTCCCTCCCCCTTTGTCACTTTTTCTT